CACACACACACACACACACACACACACACACACACACACACACACACAACTCTCCAGAAATTCCCCAAAGGCGGGCAACAATGCTCTCTCACACACCACCCTCTGGTACAGACCCCGATGGACTTTGGCATGCAGAGTTTCTTAGACTGAAACCTGCAAGTTCAGTCACACTGGCAGACACACCAAGTGGCTCAGGCAGGTGACTCGCTTCACATTCCCCTGCGCAATTGTGCACACTCAGGCCCACACCCGATTGACATTACACATGCAGGTTCACTCACACATTCGTGAGTCACGGCTCTGTGTGGTCACATACATAAACTCAGACCACTCAGAGGTGACCCAACAGAAATCGCCCAGGTACGCACCTGCCCTGAGCCACTCCAGCAGCTCCCTGTGTGGATAACACTCTTCATTCATTCATCCATCCATCCATCCATCCATCCACTCACAATCAGATTGTCAGTTGCCTGCTCTGTGGAAGAGCCCAGACGGCTTGAGCATGTGCTCTGACACACAGTTCCCCTCTTGCACATGTGAGCTGGCCAACAGGTTATCTCTGTCTCCTTTTTAATCACCATCTCCCATCCTCACGCGCCTGCACACACACACACACACCACGGAGGTCAGGAGTAGCTCAATTCAAGGCTTCTGGGAAAGACCTCTCTCAGCCAGAGGGAGACCTGGGTGTGTCCCGGTAGGGAACTCAGCCTATTCCTTCCTTCCTTTAAGGGGGATGGAGACCGGCAAAGGAAGGGGGAGGGGAGGGGAAAGGAAAAGAAGATGGGAGCCTTGCAGGCGAGGAGGACAAGACGGGTGTGGGTGGAAGGCCTGCCTCGGTTAAGCAAATAGGGGCGGAGAGTGGGGGGGGGGAGGTTGCCGGCGAGGCCCAGCCCCAGCGAGCTGGGACCTCCCACCCTCTCTCCCCAGGAACACCCTTGCCTGGCACCGCCTGGGCAGAGCGGCGCAGGGCAGGGCCTGGTCCAGCTCTCCAGGCAGGGGCCTCTGGCACGTGGAGAGCCCGTGGAGGCCCAGACTCACCAGTGGGGGCCAGCTGGGCGGTCGCGGAGGGCTCGGAGGGAGCAGTGCCAGGGAGAAGTCCCCAGGGCCGGCCAGCCTACTACTTCCTCATCTGCTGGGCCGACTTTCTGTCACCCGAGGGGGAGAGGGCGGGCCGGGTGGGGGGCGCCTGCTGATTGGGCGGCCACCCGGAGGCAGGAGGGGCTGTCCAGCCGAGGCTGGGCTCAGTTTTGCTCAGCCCGAGGGGCGGGAGCAGGGGCGGGCCGCCAGGTCCCGGGCAGGAAGCACACCCAGCCCGGCTCTCCACCCCTTCCCTTGGCATCTCGCAGCCCGCCTCCACTTCGGGGAGCCCACCAGAGTCGGCACACCACTCCTTCCTCACTTTGGGCCCCGGGGTAACCTCGTCCTGGACCCTCGGGGGGTTACTCCACTAAGAGCGCCCACCCAGACCCTGTTGGGGACGGGCGCAGCTTGGGACCTCGGGGAAAAGGCGCCGGGCTCAGGCCTTCCTTCAAAGAGCTCGCTATCTGATGTGGGGCAGGAGGTGTGCTGAACGCCGATTGTGGGTGGCAGGGTGCGGGCGCGGGTGGGGAGCAGTCGAGCACAGAAACTTGAAGGAGCCGTATCTTGGATTGGAGGTGGGAAAAGACCAGCGCGCCTAGCAAAAGCCATTATTCATTCTTACCTGGCTTTCACGGTAATGAGACATGAGGAAGTTAGCTGTGGCTGGATGCGCAGGTCTTACAGGCCAGATGGGACAGCTGCCAGGTTTTATCCTAAGAGCAATGGATGAACTGGGGAGATTTCTTGAGGAGGGTACAAACCAACCTTGTAACGTTTTATCAAATATTTACTGACCACCAATTAGGTGCAAGACTGTTCACTTCCGGTGTGGCATTGGTGAGCAAGGCAGAAGTGGTCCTCCATTCCCTGGGGGTATAGCTGAATTACATTACTCTGGCAACCTGTGCTTGAGGGTACTCCAGGGAGAGTAGGTGAGAGATAACAGAAGTTCTGGAAATGGATTGGATTGGGGGAGACGGACAACAAGCATATGTCTCCAAGACGGTTGGAACACACACAATTACCGGTAGTTGCCTATCTGGCTTCCTGGGCTCCCACTCCATCGCTTCCCACCCCACCCCACCCCGTACTCATCAACGTTGAATTACTGAGGGCAGGGATCAGGTTGTAGTGAAATGAACTGTGTGTCCCCAATGGCCCCTGCATATAGTGATTCAGTCACTGCTTGTAGGATCGAGTGGACAAAATATGAGAATTCAAAAGAGGAGGTGGTTTGGGAGAAATACTGTCTTGTAAATGGTGAGCTGCACACAGAAGTTTAGTCCCTAGAGTTCAGGTAAGGTACTCTCCCCTCTAACCTGTCCCATCTTGTTCTCTCCTCTCCCCTCTCGGGGCTCCCACCTCTCACCATGCCTCCTCTCCCGGAGAGGCTCACATTCCCAGCCCTCCAGTCCCTCCGCGATCCTCAGGGACCTGGGATAACTCCTCTCCCCTGCCCTCCGGAGGGCTCTCACCTCCTTGCCTCTCCGCTCCCGGTGCGTCTGTGGCTGAGCCCTTCCTCTCCTGGAAGCAAGGGACAGCTATGACTGTACCCTGCCTATTAGGACGTGCCCTTGAAAGGAAGTGGAGAGGAAAGTGGCCCTTCTTAATGCTGTGCCTACACTGAAGCCTTATCTGATCTGATCTGGGCCTCAGCCTTCCACAACGTCCTGAGCTACTCCTGTGCTGCGGTTTAACTGTTCCCTGAGGATGTCCCGTCTTTCACAACTTCTCTTCACCCCTGGCTCCGCTGAAGATAGAACCAGCTCTTCCAGGCAGTAAACCATCTCTTATCTCATCCCACAATCTCCTTGCAATGCAAGTACCTACATTTCTAACCTCCCTCCCCTGCCCCCTCCCCACCTCCTAACCCCCACACTACAAACTCCTCTCTGTAGTGGCCATGTTTCAGTCATCTCTAACATCTCTAGCAAGAATCCCCGGATGGTACAAATGGTTAAGTGTTAAAGGTTGCACCCACTGGGTAAGCTATGATAAAATAATAATAAATTATAAATTTTCGGGGGGAGGGGGCAGCGGGGAGGGAGGAGGGGGAAATGAGCTGACACCAGGGGCTCAAGTGGAAAGCGGGTGTTGTAAGAATGATGAAGTCAACATATGTACTAAAGTGCTGGACACAGATGACGTGTGTACAGATTGTGATGAGTTGTATGAGCCCCTGATAAAATGATTATTTATTTTTTTTAAAAAAGGTTGCTAGTTCAAATATACCCAGAGGCTCCACAGAAGAAAGGCCTGACAATCTGCTTCTTAAGGGCACAGCCTTGAAAGCCCTGTGCAGTTCTGCGCTGCACGCGGAGCCACCGTGCATCGGAATCAACACCATGGCGACTGGTTTGGTTTATATCTCCACCACTGGCCGATGGCTTGGCATGAGTGCATGTTAGAGAACACGGGACAGAATGAGAAAGAAAAGACGGGCCAAGGAATCCAAGATCAAGTGGAAGGCATAAGAATTCAAAAGGCTTTTATCCTTCCATTGGGGTGGCGGTATGAGGGGGCTTAAAAAGTTCATGGGGAAAAATGAATTAAAAGATCATAGAGTTTTTTCCATAAACGTGTTGAAGCCCCCCTGTCTTCACGGACTCGGCATTGCCTGGCCGCAGTGTGTTCAGGTATTCTCTGGTGGCTTCAAGTCCTGCCTGAGTGCACCGATCGGAGCTCAGGTCTTCCAGCTAGCACCCTGTGCTGTTAGGTCATTCCCTGGATCTTGATAAATTGGTAATAAAAGGGTACCTAGCTCATAGACACTGAAAGCAAAGAGGACTGGAAGCACTTAGTTGAAGATCAAAGAACACAGCCTTCTGTATGGATTACACCTCAATGTAGAGAAAGTAAGTCCTCACAGCTGGCTGAACAAACCACGGCGGGAGGTAGAAGAACGTGGTGAGTGTCCCCATAAAGCGGAACCCACAGCCAGGAAAGTTAAGTAGCACCCTCACCCAGGCTTGGCGTGAGGCATTCTTGGAAGGCCTCACATAAAAAAAATATCGAAGCAAGCACTAAAGGATATTTTTTACAAGGCAAGAAAAGGCATCCCAGGAGG